GATTGCGGAGGCTGTTGCTAATTGGAGAAGCCCCGCTGAGCCGCAGCATCTCCCCTGTTCGGATCCGCTCTCTGCTCCTTGCATTTAAAGAGAAAACTAGGCTGGTCTACCCACTCGCCCTCCCCCACCCGCCCCAAAATAGCCGTGTGGTTTCGGAAGCATGGACTAAATCACACCCCTCCCCGCCGATTGGACTCTGGTGGCTCGGAACTCGCCGTCAGATCGCACCTGCCCCTGTGCCGGTGTGCGCCCTGGACGGGGGACCATGACTACAGCCAAGGAGACCAATGCTTCAGGGAAATCCGTGCAGCAGCAGGAACAGGTAATGCTGCTTTCTGGAGTGTGCGTGCGCGGGAGGGGGGGCACCTGTGCTTCTTGAATGAGCTTATATTGGAGATGACCGCCCTCACCTGAGCAAGAGGCTGGAGGTGAAGCCAGCGCCGAGTGAGCCTCGCTGGGGTCTGCCTCCCCGGCTCCTGAGTGCTATTTTTGAAAGATCCCCGGGTCTATCAATAATGCACAGCCACAGGGAGCAAGCATCTGGCGGCTTAAACTTGATGCCCGGGGACCTTTGGACAAAGGCCTGTCTCCTGCACAGCTGCCTAATTATGCATTTGTCAGTGGTCACTACTTTGTAATGGGGGGGGTGGTGGATGGAGGTGAGACCCCCCCCCCTCAAATTTCAGTGTATTCTGACCCTCCAGCAGGACTTTGGTTTGGTTCTATCACAAGTCAAAAGAGGACAGAGGAGCTCGGTTTAAAGGACTTTTCTTTTGAGACCCGGTCCCTTTTCCTCCTTAAGTATTTCTTGAAGGAGTGAGCAGATTGCTGTTCATCCTGGGCATGTAGAGAGTGCAGCCTGTGCCCGCTAGGGAGGCTGAAGGATGCCCAGCTGGGACCGCTAGGGAGGCTGAAGGATGCCCAGCTGGGACCGAGTGGGACCCCCAGGTGAGAAGGAGCAGGGCTCCCAGTGCTGGCCAAGGATGGCCAGGAATGCACTGGTGTCCCCATATGGCAGAGGATGGCCACTCCCCCTGCCCTGAAGAGGCTCGCCATCTGCAGAGGCTCCCGGTCTCCGGAGTAAAGGGGAACCTGCACGCTGTGTCTTGCCACTCATGTAGATATTGCAACTCCCTTCTCGAAGATCGTGAGGGCTCTTATCTTTTAATCACTGCTTAGTTCTCCTCAGGCAGATCATTAAAATAGATCCTGGGAGACACCAGTAGATTCACAGAGCAGTTTGCTCAAGCTTGGTAAGTCAACAGCGTAAGCTGATTTCCCGTATTTATTTTAGGGGTGTTGTTAGCTCCTGCTTGCTAGGATTGGGGCCAAGGAAGGAGACCCCACTGGAGTTCAGGAAAGCAGAGAGCCTCTTTGGGGACAGTGTGTGATAGTCTCATCATGACTATTCAGAGGCGGTATGGAGATAACTTCGGATCTATATTTTTGGGGTCGTTTCCTCAAAACCCATGTTTTGACTTAAAAAAAAAAAAAAGAGACCACCTCAGTAGTGGTATCATCATCATTACCGTCATCTGGAGAACTTAAACACAATTTTATTTCTTCTGGGAAGAAGACTGTGTAAATCCCGAAGTGTAAGAATCACGTTCGGTGGGAGAGCTCCTGTGAAGGTTAATGATCACTGTAGCATGAACGCCAGGAGGTTGACACCAACCCAACCAACCCCTCCTCCTTTTGAGTCATTCTACACAATACTTGTTCCAGAAAGAAGTCTGTCTACCCTCAATTAGCATCCCGTGACTAACTGGGCTTCCTTTGATTACAGCGTTCCTCACTAGGCATAAACCAAATGTGCCCTGGGCGTGCAGGCTCCAGAGAGGACTTGGGTAGCCTTTCTGACCATGGGACTGTGGTAATAATTATGGAGAAAGCACATTGCTCCTAGGGCTGAGCCCAAAGGCGGGCTCTCAGAAGCCCTGTCCGTGTTACGTGGAAGAAGGCATGTGCACCTGTACAATGTCACTCTCATTTTCCCTAATACCTCCACATGTCAGGAGAGTGGAAATAGTTAATTGGGGTGCGGGTTTTGGAGGGTGGGCAAGGTCTTGTTTGATTTTGTGCCTTTTGATCATTGGAAACCCCACATCCCTGTACCTGGGGCCATGGTGGAAGCCGTGGTTGGGCAGAGTGCTGAGGACAGAGGCGGCTGTGACCGCAGGGAGCGGTCAGGAGGTCCCCCTCCATTCTCGGTGGCATCTTCTTGACCCTCAGAAGGACACAGTGCCCACCCTGTGAGGCAGAACACATTGAGGGTCAGCAGCAGGACCACGGTGGGAGAAGTAAGACAGGACGGAGAAAAGATCTCATGTCTGAAATTAATGCACCTTTAGGGGACGTTGGCTTAAATCTTACCAAAGTGCTCAAAACACAAAGAGGTAAATAAAATCCTTAGTCATGAAGACTGTTTCCTCTTCCTCCACCGTTTGTCAATTTTTAAAAGACATTTAAACTCTATTCTGTGTGCTCAGACTGCAGAGCTCTGAATGAGTTCTCCCATTCTTTATTGAGGGGATAGCCCCATCCCCAGGTGGCTGGGGGTTAATAGGGAGGCCCGGACAGACAGACAACATTTTTTACAAGACAGAGAAAGAGAAATGGATGCTGGTTTGTGGTTTGGTTTGCTTTGGGTTTTAGGTTGGGAGTCGTTTAATCGTCCTGCCAAACTTTGGGGCCCTGACACCTTACCTCTTATATTGGGAGGCATTCATCTGAGGATTTGGATTTTCTATAGCCTGATATGTATGTCCTATACTCTTTAAAATTCGGTTAGGGGCACCTGGGTGGCTCTGTCGGTTAAGCTCCTGACTTTGGTTCAGGTCACCATCTTGCAGTTCATGAGTTCGAGCCCCACGTTGGGCTACATGCTGACAGCTCAGAGCCTGGAGCCTGCGTCGGATTCTGTGTCTCCCTGTCTCTCTGCCCCTCCCCTGCTCGCACTCCGTCTTTCAAAAATAATAAACATTGAAAAATAATAATAGAATAAAATTTTGTTATTACAATAGACTAATAGTTCTTAGACT